TCCCTTTCCTCTCTGGTAAAAAAAAAAAAATCAATAATAAAAAAAAAGGATGGCCCAGCAAACATTGGTCAAATAGTTGCCTTTTCCATCTCCATAAGAATTGCCATTCATCCCCTCTGAAGTTGCAAACCACTACCCTCCCTTTTTTCCTTAGGTCTTCTGGCCCCCTTATTCTTATGGACCCCGTATGTACATATGTAAATTGGTTATTTTCTCCTCTTCATATGTTTTATGTCATTTTAATTATTTGATCAGCCAAAAGAACTAGGAAGGGAAATATCAAAAGTAAAAAGCCCCTACAGAACTGTGTACATTATGTGATCCCACTAAAAATTTACACACACACACACACACACACACACACACACACACACTGCACAGGAGATAGGGTTTGAAAGCATATAAACCAGGGTATTAAAAATAGTTATTTTAGAATTAAGATTCGTTTTTTTGGGGGGGTGGGGAGGAGGGCATTAATTCCTTATTTGTTTACTAGAGACCTGACTTGCACAAAATTCGTTTAAGAGTAGGCCTTCCTTCCCCCAGCTGCCGGCACCAGGCTTCCCTCCGGCCACTGGCAGCCCCGGCTTTACCCGGAAGGTCGGCAGGTCGAATTAGCATTTTACACTTTAATTATTATAGATATTTTGTGATTTTTCTCTAATGAATATATTTTTCTTTAGACATAGAAAAAAGACAATAAGCCCTGGCTGGTGTGGCGCAGTTGGTTGGAAGGTTGTTCAGTACATCAGAAGGTGGCAGGTTCAATTCCCAGTCAGGGCACATACTCAGGTTGTGGTGTGATCCCTAGTTGGGGTGTGTCTGGGAGGCAACTGACCTGCCTCTATGCCCACCGCAGCCTCGGGGCCCACAGTTTCTTTCAAGGTGCACAAATTCGTGCCCTTTTCCAGGAAGGCAGGGCAGAGGAAGATGGTCTAAGTTCTTTCCACCATAGCATTACACATTCACTAAGCCAATAAGAACATTTATGATGTCCCAGGCAATTAAAATATCCCAAGAAAACAAAGTGATAATTTTTTTTGATTTTACTATTATATGACATTTAACCTACTTTTGTCAGTCTTTATACCCAATCAATTCCCATCAATTCAGTATCCTATGTAATAAAAAGATAATATGCAAATTGACCACCACACCCTCACACAAGATGGCTGTCCCTATGTGGTCACAAGATGGCTGGCAGGGGAGGGCAGTTATGGGCGACCAGGCCAGCAGGGAGGGCAGTTGGGGGCGACCGGGCCGGCAGGGGAGGGTAGTTGGGGGCGACTGGGCTGGCAGGGGAGGGCAGTTAGGGGCAATCGGGCCAGCAGTGGAGCAGTTAGGCGTCCGTCAATCAGGCTGGCAGGGGAGTGGTTAGGGGGTGATCAGACTGGCAGGCAGAAACAGTTAGGGGCAATCAGGCAGGCGAGCGGTTGGGAGCCAGCAGTCCTGGATTGTGAGAGGGATGTCCGACTGCCAGTTCAGGCCCAATCCCTGTGGGACATCCCCCAGGGGGTCCCAGATTGGAGAGGGTGCTGGCTGGGCTGAGGGACACCCCCCCCCCCAGTGCATGAATTTCGTGCACCAGGCCTCTAGTCTTTATATATAAAACCCTAATATGCAAATAGACCAAACAGTAGAACAACCAAACAACCGATCGCTATGATGTGTGCTGTCCACGAGGGGGCGCGTGTGGAACATGGCAGGCGTTGGGAGCAGGTGGCAGAGTGCATAACATGGCGGGCATTGGCCGCGGCGGGATGGTGAAGCAGGTGAGCGGGGACACCAGACCAAGGCAGGGAGCTGGTCGCTGTCATCGGGATGAGCCTCTGGTGGTTACTGGAAATTCTTTGTTCCTGAGCGCCACGGTTCTACCGAGTGCTTGCACCCACTGCTGGCCCCGATCGCCCCTGAGGGCTTCTCCACCTCCCCCTGCTCCTAAAGGGCGATTGGGGCAGCAGCCTGCTGCCAGTGCTGGCCCCTCTCACACTTGCTGCTGGCGCTGGCTCCAATAGCTCCGTGCTGTCAGCGCGTGGGAGCGGCGGCAGGAGCGGGGCTGCCAGAAGACAGGGGACCAGGGGCCATGGTGGGAGGGGCTGAGCGGGGGTGCAGAGGATGGGCTGAGACCTGCCTCTAGGCCCACCGCAGCCTCGGGGCCCACAGTTTCTTTCAAGGTGCACAAATTCGTGCCCTGGGTCCCTAGTTTTATTATAATATTTATTCAGTATGAGACCTAACCTTTAACCTGGGGTGAAGAGTTAAAATGACATAGCTAATACAGAGTGCTCTTAACCCCTAGGCAGTGTGACAGTTGTTAAAAGCATGGTCTTTGGAAGATGGATCTTGGTTCAAAATTTAGAGAGTAAAGCTCTGAGCTTATTACACTGTATACATCTAATATAGTACCTATTCTATCAAGCTTTTTCTGCTTTAAGACTATCTTAGGGCTATGTTCCAAAGTAGGATTAGAGACATTCAGAAGAGCATTACAGTAGCCCTCCTTATCTGCAGGGGATACATCCCAGACCCCTAGTGGGTACCTGAAACCGCAGATATGTCATGTTTTTCATTTAAATATATATATATTTTTTTTACATGGAAGAAGCACTTTACAGCTTCTCTTTGGCATATCTGAATTGCCAGCATCACTACTCTTATATGTTGGGAACATTTTTAAGTAAAATAAGGGTTACTTGAACACAATCACTGTGATACCATGACAGTCTGATAACTGAGAGGTCTACCCAGTGACAAAGGGGTAGGGTAGTGTATATAGCCTGGAGACACTGCACAAAGGGATGGTTCACATCTGGGTAGGAAAAAGCAGTACTGGGTAAGAATTCATCAAACTGCTCAGAACAGTGTGCAATTTAAAACTTAGGAATTATTTATTTCTGGAATTTCCTATTTAATATTTTTGGACCACAGTTGACCACAGGTAACTGAAACTGGAACGCAAAACTATGGATAAGGGCGACTACTGTAAAGTATTGAAAGGGAGTGGTGAAACTAGAACTGTGTCACTTAGGTGTACTAATACTAGCACTAGCAACAATCAATTGTCCAATTCTGGTTTTGTTCCGAGTCCATCACATACTCTCCCTGAAAGTCAACCTTGCCTTCTATAAACTTACTTTTTTTAAAAAGAGAAAACGCTGAGTAAGAATCAAAGACATATTAACAAGTGGTTTGGCTTCATCTAATGCACACTGGTTTTATCTGATTACAAGACTTGTTCACACTACCAACGGAGAAGTCGGGAGAATGTACAGACACCAGGAACTAGCAGAGCTGTGGTGGAGAGCTAGAGGTGGCTTTATTATTGTTGCTCTTTGTCCCCAAGGACTATCAGGCCTCAAGAGACTTGAACTTACCAAACACAAGCTTGAGGCAGACACCAAAAGCTAATGTATTAATTAACAATGAAACACACCATGGACACACAAATCAGAAATAAAGGGCATTGGCATTCTCAGTGCAGTCCCTCCTTGTGATCACTAAGACATATCCTCTCCAGGAAAGCACCCTTTCCATTGCTAAGAAAGTTGCTGGGGGAAGGGAGGAATTAAAAAAAAAAAAAAGGGAACATCAAAGAAAATAAGTATCTATCCAGTGGCATAGATAGGTGTATCCATCTCTCCAAATGATGTCCTCATCTGTGGTACCAGAAACCTCTGAAGCCTGGCCAGGACAGTACTAAAATGGATGCCAGCAAGGCCCTGAGGCTCTTTTCCCAT